CCAACCCTGGTGATTCCCCACATGGCCCTGCATGGCGTGCCATGCCTCCTGTCTCTGGGGATCGTGAGTAAAAGTGTCTTCCTTCATGAGAATCATTTCTGGGCCTGCGTGTCTTACCACACCCGATTCAAACAGATCCCAGGTACGTAGTAAAACAGCACCCTCCAAACCTGGTTCCACCTTCCCCTTCCCACCTAACTTCTCATCACCCCTGCCACTCTCCAAGTTTTTGCCACCCCGTACTTCTTAGGCATGCCACATTCCTTTGTCACCGTGCCTTTGCACATGCTGGAGCCTCCACTTGGAGTGCCCTGCCCAGCCCCTGTGACTCACTTATTCCTATGTCACCACCAAGACTCACTTCATGGCACCTCCGCAGGAAGCCCACCAGGATGGCCGCTCTGGGCTGCAACGGCATATGCTGCATTGTCCCTCACAGCCCTTAGCCTGCGTGTCTATCTGCTGCTGTCATCAGTGACTTCTTCCAAGATATGGGCCACGATTCCTCATCTCTGGATCTCCAGGGCTTAGCACAGAGCCAGGAAATGATTGGCAACTCAGTAAATGCAGGATTTTATTTTTTAATATAAGAAATTTCCCCACCCCTCTGCCCAACCGGCAGCTAAGCTCCTCGAGGGTAGAGGCCTTACCCTCTGGGTCCCCAGCAGGGCCGTGCACATGGTTGGCCCCAGGTAAGGGCGCACGGGGTGCGTGAGTGCACGGAAATGCTGAGCACGCAAGTAAGCGTCGGGGGGAGGTGGGCAGGCGGGGGTGGCCTCCTGTCCGGGAAGCCAGCTCTACTCACACTGTTCTTCCCACTCGCGCTCCTCCTTCTCGCTGGCGTGGCAGTGCAGCTGCGCCTGCTTCAGCGTCCAGTAGAGCTCCTTCGCCCTCTGCTCTTCCTGGAGGCGAATCTGCTCTTCGCCTCGCTTCCTCTCCTCTTCCTCTTTCCTCTAAAACGTCATGGGGACAGAATATTAGGTGACCGTGACACTTCAGATAGAGGATAAGTACCTCTGGTTGTCTGCAGGAGGTCGGGCTGAGCAGGCAGTGGCGGCCCCTCCAGCCTTGGTACTGGCATAAGAACAGACACATCAATGGTATAGAATTGAGAGGACATAAATAGACATTTACATTTTCAGTCAATTGATCTTCAACAGGGTGCCAAGACCATCGGTGGAGAAAGAACAGTCTTTTCAACAAATGGTGCTTGGACAACTGGATGGCCACATATTTAAAAAATTAAGTAGGAATCCTACCCCACTCAAAATGAAGCAAAGACCTAAATTTTAGGACTAAAACTATAAATCCCTTAGAACAAAGAGAGGTGTAAGTCACTGGGACCTTGGATTAAGCAATGTTTTTTAGATATGACACAAATCATAAGCAACCAAAAAATAAATAAATCGGACTTTTCATCAAAATTTAAAAACTTTTTGCTTCAAAGGACACTATCAACAAAGTGAAAAGACAATTCGAAGAATGGGAGAAAATATTTTCAAATCATAAATCTGATAAGAGATCAATATCCAGAATATATAAAGAACTCTTGCAACTCAACAACAACAAAAAAATTCAAATATGGGCAAAGCACTTGAAGAGACATTTCTCCAGAATTGATATACAAATGGCCATAAAGCACATCAAACAGTGCTGAACATCATTAGTCATTAAGGAAATGCAAATCAAAACCACAATGAGATATCAGTTCACACCCACTAGAATGGCTATAATAAAAAACACAAACAATTTTAAGTGTTGGCAAGGATGTGAAGAAATTAGAACCCTCATACATTGCTGGTAGAGATATAAAATGGTGCAGTCACTTTGGAAAACAGTGTGGCAGTTACTCAGAATGTTAAACATTGTTACTATATGCAAGGTTTGAATGTTTGTTCCTCCAAAACTCAGATTGAAAATCCCGAGTGAAACAGTGTTAAGAGGTGAGGCCTTTAAGAGGTGATTGGATCATGAGGGCTCTCGATTAATCCATTCATGGATTCATGGATTCATGGATTCATGGATTCATGGGTTAATGAACTAATGGGTTATCACAGGAGTAGGTTAGTTATCAAGTGAGTGGGTCTGTTATAAAATCCAGTTTGGTGCTCAGTACACCTCCTCCTCCCCATGTGATGTCCTTCTCTGCCTCAGGACTCTGAAGCGCCCCCACCAGCAAGAAGGCCCTCAACAGATGTGGCTCCTAGACTTTGGACTTCCCAGCCTCCAGAACTGTAAGAAATAAATTTCTTTTCTTTATAAATTACCCAGTCTCAGATATGCAGCTATAGCAACAGAAAATGGAATAAGACACCATAGACCTAGAAAATCTACTCCTAGGTATATACCCAAAAGAACTGAGTTTGTACACAAATGTACAGAGCAACACTATTCAAAATAGCCAAAAAGTGAAAACAACTCAAATGTTCCACAGCTGATAAGTGAATAAGCAAAAATGTGGTATATGCACACATTAGGATATCATTCAGCCACAAAAAGGAATGAAGGAATGATACATGCTACTCCATGGATGGACCTTCAAGACCTGCTAAATGAACGAAGTCAGACACAAAAAGCCACATAATGTATGATCCTATTTATATGAAATGTCCATAATAAGCAAATCCATAGAGACAGAAATTACACTAGTGGTTTCCGGGGGTGTAACGGAGGGAGGAGTAACGGCCATTGGTTCCAGAGTTTTGTTTTGAAGTGATCCAAATGTTCTAATTAGATACTGGTGGTGGTCGCACAACTTTGTGAGTATACTAAAAACTGGTGAATTGCACACTTTAAAGAACTTTTATGGTATGTAAGTTATATCTCAATTTTTTTTTAAAGTAGTCTGAAAAGTCTGTTGAGTGAATCTGGCATAAGGTTAAGACATGCTGAGAGCCAGAGGGTTGGCCAGCAGAAGACACCTCTCATTTCTGTTCTCCCGGTGTGGCCCTAGTTCCAATTGTCTTTATAGTGTACATTGCAAGTGCCTCCTCCTGGCTCTCACCCCCAAACCCTGCTAGAATTGTGTCACTCGCCTTCAGAAGTTCCCCACTGTCCACCTGTATTGATCGTGCCTTTTTAGTTTCTGTAGTTTCTGATGTTTTGACATCTGCGGCCTTGCTGATTCTGGAGACACTGCCCCCTCCAGAGCGAGCCAATTCTAAGTGACAGTAAAGGACTTGCCTGTGGGTGCACCTTTATACGCAAACCACCCGATCCAAAGCCCAGGTCCCCTGACACCTCCTGTATCAGTCTCTTACATTCCAGGCCAGGATCTGTCTCCCCTAATCACCCCAGGGCCAGATGCTGCAAAACTAGAACCAACCCCTGCACTCCAGAGCCCACTAAGATTATTCAAGCCAGACAAGCCTGCGTCTCCTGCCTCGCCTTACCTTTCCCGAGGAAACCACAATAAAGGCTCTTGCCCACGTTTTCCCCCCACCCCTCTGTCTCCCAGCCAACCCTGGTGATTCCCCACATGGCCCTGCATGGCGTGCCATGCCTCCTGTCTCTGGGGATCGTGAGTAAAAGTGTCTTCCTTCATGAGAATCATTTCTGGGCCTGCGTGTCTTACCACACCCGATTCAAACAGATCCCAGGTACGTAGTAAAACAGCACCCTCCAAACCTGGTTCCACCTTCCCCTTCCCACCTAACTTCTCATCCCCCCTGCCACTCTCCAAGTTTTTGCCACCCCGTACTTCTTAGGCATGCCACATTCCTTTGTCACCGTGCCTTTGCACATGCTGGAGCCTCCACTTGGAGTGCCCTGCCCAGCCCCTGTGACTCACTTATTCCTATGTCACCACCAAGACTCACTTCATGGCACCTCCGCAGGAAGCCCACCAGGATGGCCGCTCTGGGCTGCAACGGCATATGCTGCATTGTCCCTCACAGCCCTTAGCCTGTGTGTCTATCTGCTGCTGTCATCAGTGACTTCTTCCAAGATAAGGGCCACGATTCCTCATCTCTGGATCTCCAGGGCTTAGCACAGAGCCAGGAAATGATTGGCAACTCAGTAAATGCAGGATTTTATTTTTTAATATAAGAAATTTCCCCACCCCTCTGCCCAACCGGCAGGTAAGCTCCTCGAGGGTAGAGGCCTTACCCTCTGGGTCCGCAGCAGGGCCGTGCACATGGTTGGCCCCAGGTAAGGGCGCACGGGGTGCGTGAGTGTACGGAAATGCTGAGCACGCAAGTAAGCGTCGGGGGGAGGTGGGCAGGCGGGGGTGGCCTCCTGTCCGGGAAGCCAGCTCTACTCACACTGTTCTTCCCACTCGCGCTCCTCCTTCTCGCTGGCGTGGCAGTGCAGCTGCGCCTGCTTCAGCGTCCAGTAGAGCTCCTTCGCCCTCTGCTCTTCCTGGAGGCGAATCTGCTCTTCGCCTCGCTTCCTCTCCTCTTCCTCTTTCCTCTAAAACGTCATGGGGACAGAATATTAGGTGACCGTGACACTTCAGATAGAGGATAAGTACCTCTGGTTGTCTGCAGGAGGTCGGGCTGAGCAGGCAGTGGCGGCCCCTCCAGCCTCAGTCTCTGCACGATGAAGTGGCCATTGTTCCACCTGGGCGACATGGCTGTGGAGCAATGTACGAACTCCACAGCGAGCTGCAAGATGAGAGAGCTCTGGGCCACGCTTGGGCTTCCATTTTGGGGGCAGAAGGAATGAAGGACCAGGGAAGGATGCCTGGTCTTCCTAGAGGCCAATTAAGCAGGATACAATCAAGTCTGAACCTTAAGTCTAGATAAGATATTTTAAAGAGAAAGTAGGTTTGGGACCCTAAATCTCCCATTTCTGTCCCACTTGTAAGCTCCAAAAAAAGGTGTGTGTGTGTGCATGTGTGCATGCACATGTGCATGTATTTTCTTCTACCTCTGTTCACATCCAAGTAACATGTACATGGTACACATACGTTATGAGCCAAGGCTTCAGATGAAAATCAGCAGCTCTCTGAATCACTTCACCCCAGCGCAACCCAACCAACCCTGCGCCAGTGCCCAGAGGCCACCATTTTCAACTATGTTAGCTGTTCCTTCAAGTGGTTACATCCATATTTCTGATTAACGCTGCTAATTCTTGACCTATCGATTCCAGACATTAAATGCTGCCTTTCTTTCTTCGTACGTGTACTTTGTGTTTAGCACTTCTCCTTCCCACAGAGGCGAACACCCAAACTTTCCCTCTCCTCGGCCTCGCAATAAATCTGCATCGCAATTTGTGGTGAAACCAATAATCAGTATACAGTTCACCACAAAGCCAAATAGGGGGCTATTTTCACCAATGTCAAGAAGTACGTTTTTAAACTTCTTACCATCTCTGAAATGTGGGTGTGTCTTACAAGTTACACTTTGCCTTTTTAGTAGGCAACAGGTTTTCTTCATAAAATAATGTTTTTACAATTAATGACATCTTACAGTCACTAAAATTTGATCATTGACAGATTGTTCTTTCCAATAATTTCTTTTGTTTTTTTCCCGGGTTAATAACTGTTTTATCTTGAAGCTGAATATTGGATTTTTCCAGACTTCTCTCAGCTGTAGTAAATTTTTTTCTGTGTTTAACCAAGTGCTTTTTCTTATAACAGACGACACAGCATCTGTCTTCTTCCAAGGGACACCCCTGCACCGGGTGACATCTTTCCTTCCTCTCCAACCTGAGCTGATTGCTACCTACATCTCTTCTCCATCCACCCTACCAAGCCACTGGTCTTCCTTGAGTTGGGGCCCCTGCTTCTTTCCTGGCCATGCCCTCATTTTGCAGCGACATATCTTACAGTACTTCTCAGGTAAGGATGCACAGAGACACTTTCTGAGTCTTTACTCGTCTAAAAATATCTATATGCTACTTTCACATGGAATTGTTAACTTAGCTGAGCATAGAATTTGAAGAAAAATCATTTTCCTGAAGAATCATGAAGACTTCCTTGTCCTCTAGCACCCAGTACTGCCACTCTCCTTCTCATCCTCCTGCACGAGGCATTCATTTTCCGCCCTGGAAGCCTTTAGGGTCTCTTTAACACTGATGTTCTGAACTTTTTTAAATGATGGGCCTTGGAGGGCATTTTCTTTCATTGATTGTGTTGGGCACTCCAGGGTATTTTAATTTGGAGTCTCTTGTCTTTCCAGTCTAATACATCTTTGCTTAGGATTTCTTGATAATTTCTTCTCCTCTCATTCCTCGTTTTTCTTTATAGAATTCCTATTTGTTAAATGCTGGTCTTCTCGAGTCGATCCTCTAACTGCCTTGTCGTTTCTCTCTTACTTTCCAACAACACTTGTCTTCTTTGCTCTACTTTCTAGTTGATTTCACTGACTTTATCTTCCAAACCTTCTGCTGAATTTTTTATTTCAGCCATTGCATTTGTAACTTCCCAGATTTCTTATTCTTTAGCTGTCCCTATTTCCTCATTGTATCTTATACTTGTTTTATGAATGCAATAACTTCTCTCTCTGAGGATTTTAGAGCTTTTTCTTCCCCTGTGATTGTGTGGTTTTAAGTTTGTTTGATTTGGTGCTTGCCATTCATGTGAAAGGTTTTCCTCAGACTGTATTCAAGAGAGAAAAAGTAAATATCTGAATAGGAGGCTCAGAGAGTGGGGTCGGGGCTTCATTGAGAGGTGGGCGTCACTCTAGGGCGATTGTCTGAGAAACCAGCCATTTCACTGAGGGACTCTCAGATGTCAGCATCTAGAGGTCCTTGCTCTGAGCTTATTCTGTCTGTTCTTATTCTGTCTGTCTGTTCCTCCATCCCTCCTGGGTGATGTCTGGCCACCGACATTCCAGGAGTTGGTGGGGAGACTGCCCGAGCAAGCAGGGTCCCTGGCCTGGGCCCCGTACTTCAGGGGAAAACATGCGTTAAAGTGCCTTCTTTGTAAATTTCCTCCGCAAGTTCCCCCTCAGGACTGGCCAGAAATAGTCCCCCCAGGACGGCAGGGGCAGGCAGTGTTGTCCAGGTAAGGTCCCCCGTGCCCAGACCAGGTCCTGTGTGAGCCCTGGCGGCCTCTCTTTCTTCCCTTCAGGGTGTTCCCTGGTCTTCTCCTCCATGCCAGGGGTTGACCAGATGCCCCAAGGGACTCAAGGATTCATATTTACAGAGTCATGCTGGGGCCCAGTGGGTGGGCCCTGGTTCCAAGAGGGTGGCCTAGCAAGCAGTTGATGCCCGCTGGCCAGAACAGCATTTTTATCACAGGAGCACATGAGATCGGGTCATCAGCATAGCGCTAACAGGCTGAGTTTATGTGGCTCGAATTTTTAGTATAGACAAAGACCCCCACAAATAATGTTTGCCAGCCCTGTACACCCGAGGGGAAGCCCTGGCTCCAGGTCCCACCGTTCAGAGTTCAGATTTTTCCTTAACCCTGTTTCCCACATGCCCCTCTCCTGCCTTCTCTCCTCCGCTGATATGCTGAGCCCCGAGCCTTTTCCTTTCAACTTCCCTTCTCCTCCCAGTCAGAGGGAGGGACAGAGTAGTCTGGAAGAAATGTGGGAAAATGGAGACATTTGGGTCCAGCCACTCCACACGGAAATGTGCAGCCGCTCCCACCTTCTCAGCCCCACCCTCCACGGTACCCGGTGCCTGCAAGTCCTGGGCCTTGTGGGGTTCCGGGCTGAGCTGCCTCACTGCGCGCAGCTGCTCCTGTAACAGAGTAGCATCCCCTCTTCCCATAGATGTGGAAGGGTAAAACTGAGAGTGGGGAATATGCAACAGAAGGAAGGGCCTGAAGAAAAAAATACATTTTCTGTCTCTTTAAAACGTCCCCCACTCTTTTTGGGAACTGCAGCCTGGCCTGCATCCCTGAGGCAGGTTAAGTCCTTTGTTAAAAGAGGTAACTCAGCCATCCGAGGTGGCACCAGCCCCCAGGTAGGTGGCTGGCAGAGTTCACGGGCTTTGTCTTTGGCAAAGATGGGACGATTAGAATAGCTAACCACAATAGCCTAGACCTGAGGGGCCCTCCCTTTAAAAGCTCCGTATTTCTGCTTATGTTCAGGAAATTTGGATTTTGAGACAAGGTCGTCTACCGTTTCTCCTCCTTTGCCAGCAAAGTAATAAAAATTCTCTTTCCTCCTCCCCAAAACACTTGTTCTCATTCTTCTGATGCAGCCTCGAGGACAAGTGCCGAGTTCTCGGTAACACTCCCTGCAGGCCCCCACCGGACCCTCACCTCGCTCCCTCCGTCTTCCAGCTTCCAGACACTTCTGAACATCGCCTATTCTCCCCTCCTCTCGCGTCTTCCCGTCCTTATGGTTTGTAACTTTTTCAGTCCTTTGATACTATTTTAATGGATCAACAGGGAAAAGGGGAGATAACTGTGAATTTTTAATCTCTTTTTTTAAAGATGACAAGATTTTTGTTGCTTCTGACATGGCTTAGATGGAGAACTTTTCTCTATCTGATGATCAACTTTTTAATTTTTTTAAAGGTAGACAAAATTCTAACTTCCTTATGACCCACTCTCTATAAGTTAGGAATTAAGGGCTAAAGAAGTTAAGTGGCTTCTTCTAATTGCTCAACAATTACTTATTAAGCTTCTATGAGACTCAGCCCTGTTCTAGGCACTGAGAATATAGCAGTGAGAAAGACAGACCCAGTCCCCACGCTCTCAGAGCTTGCCTCCCAGTGGAGGGAAGCATTGAACAAATAAATTAGAAATCAAGAAATATCACAAAATAATAAATAGTATGCAATGAATTAAAACAGTGTAAGTGACAGAATCTAGGAGGCTCCTTTAGGCTGTGTGACCAGAAGACCTCTTGGGGGGGTGATGTAAACTGAGACCAGAGCAATAAGCAGGAGGCAGCCCAGTGACAATCAGGGACAAGAAGTTTCCAGGCAGAGGGAATGACCAGGGCAAAGTCCCCAGTGTTGCAAAACATGTGGGCATCTTTGAGTATGAAATTATCCACTGCAGCTGGAGTGAAAAAAGTCAAAATATTATTTCGGATGAGTGTGAAATGCCACCCTCTGCTACAGGCAGGAGGACCCATGAGCCTGGGGCTTCAGGCTAAAGATATTGACCAAGAGATCATCTGCTACACACGTTGTTGCTCAGCCATGGAATTAATGATATCTCTGAGAGAAACAAAGCCAATTAAGAGAAACAACCAGTGTCAGGTCACTCCACCATTTAGAAGTTGAGAGAAAGAGTTGCAGCCAGAGAAGGGGAGGAAGGCCAAGGGGTAGGATAAAAACCTGGAAGGAGCAAGTCTGGAGACAGCCAAGAGAAGAAAGTATTTCCAGGAAAAGGGAGTGGTAAACTGAGCTGAAGGCTGCTGAGACATCACAAAAGATAAGGACACAGAAGCCACAAGAGACATCTGGATGTGGCCACAGGATGTGATGGGAGATTGTGACAAGAGAGCCCTTGTGGAGTGGAGAAGCTGGCCACCATCCAGGCACCTGGGGGAGCAAGTGGA